CCATGAAGCAAGCAGTCATTTGGCAAATGTATTAAATTGTGTACATTATAAGAAACAAATTCCTTCCCATATAATGCACCAAAATTTTTTACAAAATAACGTAATAAATCACAAGCTGAGTTGTTATATTTAAGATACAATTCAGGTGAACACAGAAAACGAATAGCCGTGTGTAACGACATGAAATGTAAAAATTTGTCTCGGGGTAAAACATCCTTTAATATTATTGGTCTTGTATACAGCAACAGTTGTCTAAATTCTGTTGCTTTAAAACGATCGACTTCGAGAAGACTTCTAGGAGTTCTTGCAAATTCTATAGGTATAACTTTTTTAAGCTTCAAGATGTTTTTAGATAAAATGGCCATTTTCGAGTCAGGAATTCTAACATCTTTTTTACCTTTCACCCAAAAAAGTACTAGCCGTTTCATCACACCTAAGCACACAAGATGCATGTAGTCCAAACATACGTTACTAACAAGCCCTACGTTTAAATTTTCAAGTGGACTATTATACAAATGAAAATCATCATCTTCTTTGTTTTTGAAGGAATCATCTGTGCGCAACGGAGAAACCAAACTCTGAAAAGTTACTCTGCCATTTATGTACTCGCCTTGATCAATACATTTCGTACAACCATGGTAGCCCTTGACACCTAAAATGAATGCCTTGGCAGGAGCATCGCAGATAATCTTAGAAATCCTAGGAAAAATTTTTGTTTTGCCAACCTCTAAACCATTTAGCTCTAAAAATTTGAATTCTTGGACAAATTCATTTAAGAACTGACTAACATCGCTTGGTTTTTTCATACCGTGATATATTCCACAAATAAATGGAGGCGATAATCTTGACTCTATTGATAATAATATGGGCTAAAATTGACTAGTAGAGCTTTTAGTCAGTGGCAACCCATCTATGTTTAAACTGAGTTTTAAAATATCGTTCTCTTTTACTGTCTGGACATCAGTTAAATTATTTAAAATTCCACGCGCAACCCCGAAGTGATAATAATGTCCTTCAAGTACATCAATAATATTACATGATCTGGGCGTTTGCAATAGAGTTCTAGCGTTTTTGGGTAAATTGTAACCACCTTGTCTTAAAATTTGCAGCAAATCATTAATAGCTTGTTGAGAGAGCAATGTTCGGTATTGAAGTATCCAATTGCGAATATCATTCACGAAAGTATTATTCGGGCGTTCATGAGCTGGATTTTCATGAGTGTCAAGAAATGGCAATTCATTATTAAGAGTAAAGTCAGATGTGAAGCTATTTATTTCTTGTGTTGATTTCTGCGGCGGCGAAAATCGCCGACGTTCACAATACGTGTCATCAACGGATGAGGCAACAGCAATACTGTAACAATTTGCCGATGGAATATTTTTTGCGGGATCAAGATGATTACACAATTGCACGTTGAATTTATTTTGGTGTTTTACACTGCAAATTTGGCTACTTAATTTTAAATCAGTACTTGTACTCTTTGTGGATCCGTGGGTGTATGGCTTGCAAATATTGTTACGTACTAATCTTCGGAGATGCCGTTTACTGACCACAAGTTTATTTGTTCGATTAGAGAATAAGCTACTTACATGCCTTTCTTCAAGTAATTCTTTTTCCTCTTGCGACATGTTGTTCCGACATATATGTTGACGCTACAACTACGCAAATCACATATACATATGATGTACTAATAAAAATAGTACCTTTAATATACAGTAGGTTATTATACGTTAATACGATAAACTAATACCGATTCAAGAACCTTTATGGTACTTATTTTTTCACAAAACACGAACGTTTCGCGGGAATCCGTCGTTCTAGCACGATGCGCAATAACAAAATACTCCTCTGTCAAAATTGCAGTGCGCAAGCGCTCTGAAGAATGTTTTAAATGCGTCTCAAGAGGAACGTTTGAGAAACGTTTCAGCAAAAATGTGCCTGAAACGTTTCTATTTAGGTTGCACGTTTGTTTATGAAATGTTACACTGGAACGTTTCAAATTATACGCGTTTGGGATGTTTCGTAATGTTTCATAAATGTTTCGTGTTTACTGGGTACTGATAGGAAAAGCATTTCTGGGTTTCTGATTAAGCTAAATGAAACTAAACAAAGGAGACACATGTATGTGTCTCCTCATTATGGAAAAGATTTTGTTAATAATGGAAAATTTAAGTACTTGCACAGAGGTGAAAAATAGCAAATATTTTTACTAAGGGCATGCCTGTAGAAAAAATTGTTTATTTTAGAGATAAGATGGATTTAGTTGATGTATTGTAAGTTTTTTTTTTGTAACCAATTGCATAATTGGGAGAGAATGTTGTTATGTTGGCAATTATGCACATGCGTACTAGTTAAGTCAAGTTGATATAGAAAAGGGAGAAGAAATGTCCATTTTGTTTTTCGGTGAAAAACCAACGTTGTAATTGTGAAACATATTAAATGTTGTTAAGAAAACTCGTCTCCTTCTTAACACACCCACACATATTAAGAAAAAACTCAATTTACACGGTTCCAACCCGAAAAACGATCATGTATTGATTCCGATCTTGCAAGCCTCCGAAAGTAGTACCATGTTCCTCGTGGTACTCTAATCAGGAAAATGGCAGGAGGCAGTCCATGTTATAGAAAAGTGGGCCCCCCATCAAAGTTATCTGAAATTGAAGAAAACGTATTGGTTTCATGGATACAGCCCATGGCGAAAAGAGGAATCCCTAGTACACAAAACCAATCTCATCATGTCTGTAAAAAAATACTTACAAAATAATGGCAGAGAACCTCGTTGTTTAAATAAATCTAAAACACCGGGAAGATCTTGGTTTGAAGGATTTCTTAAACGGCATCCAGAGATCAAACAGAAACATGCAGAATCTTTAAGCAAAGCTCGTGCAGCTGTTACCCAAGACCGTATTCATGGATGGTTTGATGAAATTCTAGATAATTTCAAGGAGACTAACCTTCAAGACATCCTTCGTGATCCCACCCGAATATTTAATGGAGATAAATCGGGATTCATGCTTTGTCCTAAAAGTGGAAACGTTTTAGGACCAAACAGATCAAAAGAGGATTTTTATCAAATAGTATCTGCTGAAAAAGGACAGATTACTGTTATGGCTACATTTTTGGCAGACGGAAAGATAGTACCACCAACGCTTATCTCTCCATACAAAAAGATGCCAAAAGCAATCTAAACCAGAAAATTGGGCATTAGGTAGGTCGGATTCAGGATGGATAAATTCAGAGGTTTTTTATGAATACATGTCTAACCATTTCATAGCCTGTATAAAGTCTTCAAAAATTACTCGACCAGTTGTACTATTCGTGGACGGACATCGTTCTCACTTAACCACCCAAGTAAGCAAAGTGTGTGATAACAATGGAGTTATCCTGATTTCGCTATTCCCAAATACAACGCATATTTTGCAACCTGCCGATGTAGTAGTTTTCAAACCATTACAGGCTTCTTAGGCAGCTGCTGTAAGGAGTTGGAAATTCCAATATGTCGCAAAAGAAGTTACAAGATACACTTTTGGATCGATTTTAAGACTAGTTTTTGATCAATACGCTACACCTAAAACAATTCAAAACAGATTCAGGAAGAGTGCAATTTTTCCTTTTGAAAAGAATAATGTTGATTACTCCAAATGCATTCCAAATAGAAATATTGATGACTTACTCGAACATTCCGCAGACCAAGCTAGTATGGTATTAGAAGCAATTGAACGGAAGATTGAAAAAGAAGAAGTCAATCAGTTTTTGGAAATATATTTACGTCGATCTGAGTGAAATGGAAATATTGAATCACGTAGTCTTGACAAAGTATGGTCTTTTATAAAAAATTAATGCAAAACTACACTTGAACAAAAAGTTACACCCGAGCTTCGTGAAGATCAACTGCCTTCCATGGAAAAAAATGACATAGATCGCCCAGGAACGTCAAAAACACTAATTGAAGAAAACTTTGACCCTACAATGAACTCGCCAATTCTGCAACAATCCATAGCCGTAGAGTGGAAGACAAAGCATTCTTATGAAGACAAAGAAAATAAAGGTTATAAAGTACCAACACCATTAAAAAATGCTTCTTCTAATTCGGATGTAAATCTAACATACAACGATGATGATCTAGATTCGAGCGAAAATGAAGATTTACGCCTACAAATTGGACAATATGTCATAAAATATGAGGAAAATTATTATTGTCCTGGTGAGTCGTACTTACATTTACAAAGTATGTTCCTTGTCTTTATCACTTTTATCCAGCAGTTAAAATATTGCACATTACCTATCTATATTTTATATTTACCTACTTAATCTACTTGGTGGATTCTCCTCATGATTTTCTATGTCTAATTAAAATTTGAAAAGGGTATAATGTTTCAATCAAATTATTTATAGTATAATGGACTGTTACAGGTGTTATTTTGAAGAAGGATGATCTAGGAGCCGAAATACGCAGTGCAGGTTTCGGTGTATGGAAGTGGCCAAGCAAAGAAGATATTCTTTATTATTTTAAAGAAGATATTGTATGTGCCATTGACGAGCCAAAGGTTAAAAATACTAGAGGCCATTTTACTATAATTTATATTAAATTAACCTATTTTATTAAAATATCAATTCTTATTTTACGTAATTTGGCTACAGACTGTTAGAAAGAGCATTAAATAAGCTTTCCTCTGATGTGCCACAAATTGATTTTGACCAATTATTAATAATAATAAAAATATTTGAATTTCAAATTTTTTCTTGGGTGTCCATTACAGGGGCAACTACGCTATACTCAGGATCACGAAGCAATGCGTACACGTCATGGATGACGTAGATCCGTTACCAACACTAAATCAAAAATACGCGCCGCAATACGTGGCAATACGGATCAAAATCAATCAATTTGGGGGAAATTATATTGGTACGACTGATAGCGAAACATATGCTAAAGTTTTATCGATTTCACAAGTGTCATTGGTGTCAACTTTGGTTATGTTGTGTTAGGTATTGTTTGATTTTTCGCGTTTTTCTACTTTTCTGCTCGTGTAATCGTATCAGTTCTTTTCAGAACTATAACAGTTCTTTTTAGAACTCCAAATTAACTGTCGTATACCGTGGTACGTGTCGCTTGCTTGAACGTAAACATTCCACCATGCCGAAGCCCTTGCACAAAGATGCAAAGCAAATGGTCGCTAATTTAGTGGACTATTTTGCTAAAGAACGCGATAGCGGGGGACCTCTTTTACCACTAACAGCTGTTCAAGACGTAAGTAGGTGTATTTTATTACAATTACTAATGCAGTCACATTGTACAGAGGGTTGCTGCTGCTCTGGGTGTATGTGTGCGAACAGTGAACTCCATGGTACAACAAATAAAAACCGCAGAAGCTGTACATTCTCCCAAGAAATAGAGACCCCCGAACAAAGCAAGTGTGTGATATTAGCACTTCGGAGCAGTGTGCTATTCGAGAATGCTTATATGGAATGGTCGAAAAAAGTATGAATTTGATGCGCACGCCTTATAGATACTAACGATTATTTTACAGAAATACATGTTACACGATCGTCATTACTTGATTGCTTGAAGGAGAAACATATATTTGAAGTTTCTCTGAGCTCGTTAGGAAGAATTTTATATTCTCTATTGGGTTTCGTTATTCTCCAACAAGTGTACGAAGCGTCTTATGGAATTACATGTTATTCATGCAAGAACCAAATTCTTACGTGAATACATGGACAATCAGCAGAACCCAAATCCTTTGCCATGTGATCTTGATGAAACATGGATATTTGAAAATGGTTCGGTAGTTAGGTCCATGGCAAGACGATAGTGTCAAAAGTATCAGGACGTTCAAAATAGAAGGCAAAAGTTAGTAATGTGTCAGTTTCACGTTGGTTATTTATTCTTCTCACTATATTTTAGATATATTGTATTACATGTAGGTACAAGCAATGGATTTATTGATGAAGCAGCTCTGGTATTTTCTTCTAATACCAAAAATCCAGACTATCATGGCGAAATGAATCAACAGAATTTTCTCAAGTGATTTCAGTTACTCATGAATCTTGAAGAACCATCACTGATTATTATAGACAATGTAAGCTATCACAGTACCCTTGCAAACAAATGTCCCAATGGTTCATGGAAAAAAGCAGAAATTCGTGAATGGCTTTAACAACATGACATAAGTTCAGATCCACAGCTGTTAAAAACGGAACTTCATCATTTGGTTGCACAGTAATGCATATACTATTCTCTATCGTTTCATTTAAAATATCATGTTTTTCAGAAATAAACATCCAAGAACGTATGTTGCCATGAATTGGGCCAACAGAATGGCCATAGACTATTGCGATTGCCGCCATATCATTGTATGTTTAACCCTATAGAAAATATTTGGGAATTACTACAAATTTTTATTCCAAACACATTGGGCATGATGGTTATGGTCAAAAAAATTCCGTGGGAATGTGGAAAGAAGCGTTAGCACATGTCACGCCCACAATGTGGAAAAATACTGTTGACCATATGAATAAAATAACACGGGAGTGGTGGGAACGGGAATTAGTATTTGACCGTGAAGAGATTGCGCCGCTTATAATCGACATTAACGAAGATTCAGATTATAGTTTTAGTGATTATGACAGTGAAGATTCTAATACTGCAGAGGGCATTCAGCCACTGTAACATGTAGGTTATTTTCCATTACCATCCTAATTGATTGTACTAGCGACATGTTCTGCTGATGTCTTTTATAATCACACTATCACTTCACTGGCCAAATATACAGATCACTGGTCAGATGAAGACGTTGTGCAACATGAATACTTATTATTATTTATAGTTTACTTTTGTATCTATTCCATGTCAATAAAGTAACTTATTCTGTAGATGTGACGTGGCCATTGTGGCATTGAAGACGGTAAGCGTATTTCTCTAACTTGAAGCCTGTCACAACTGTTCAATGCTGTCTGTTTGAGACGTATGTTGACATTCTCGTTGGTAGCTTTAAGTACAGTATGAAGCCTTGTACCACCCTCCAAGTATGTGTTTAACACCCAGTTGTCAGCAGTTTTTACCAGCAGTCAATGCAAAAATGAATGTTCTTAAAGCCAGTCATTCACGTTCCAACGCCGGGGTACGATTGTATTGGATACAACTGCTGTACAATTCTGCTAACAAGCAGCAGTACACACACGTTACGACCTTGCAGTTAAAATTTTGCGATCGTAGTGGCAACATGTCTGAAGAAAATGGACTTTTATAGCTGCTTTCACGGTTTGTATAACGTACACTGTCCACACGATCAAATTTCCATCCAATACAACACGATTGTACTACTGCAGACAGACTTGTTCACCAACCGTCCACATCCAACCGATTTGCTTGTCGCATACACAGACGTTCAAAAACACTTCAATTTCGTCATATCCTACACAATAGCACCGCGGCGTTGGAACGTGAGTGGCAGGCTTCAGTGACTAGGAACACGTGAAAGGGGTTACAGTCATGATCTTTCCTGTGCCTGAGTTTGTAATTTATAGCGTCTATGCAGCCTGCAGCATGCCCTTGTGTGCTGAAACACTGCAAGTGTAGCTTATTTCTTAACTGTTGCTTCACACTAACGGTCTTATCATGCTATAATCATAAATAGAACAAACCAAAACAATAACAAGCCGACATGTTTGTTGACAGTTTTCAAACCGATTCATTTGTATGATAAACGTGGTAGGCGCATGACGTCATACAGAGTCCGTGACGTGTACGCATTGCTTCGTGATCCTGACTATATATGTGCATATATGACATTGGATAAGATACTTTCAAACAATTTAGCAAAGTTTGATAATATAGCTATAGGTCTGTAATTATTATTAATATCAAACTTATCGCCATTTTTAAAAACTGGACAGACTCGATACTAACCAGCTACTGGGATATGCAGATGTTTTTAGGATTAAATTAAAAATATGAAGAAGAGGTATTAAGAAACAACTATGTAATACAGTCAGAACACGGTCAAGACTTGAATTATTATTAGTCCTAATTCTTTTAACGGCCTTAAAAGCACCAACATCAGACTCATTTATTTTAAAAGGATGTAGAACAGAAGAAGATTCACAGCTAGATTTAAATTGCAAAGATGAGCAGCGCTTTTATCATAGAATTCACAACGAAAATTATCATTATCACAATACTGACCACATAAATGATCACTAGAACTAAATACACCAGCAAATAGATGACCAAAGGCGTTGACAATGGCCTTATAGGCTTTAACTAATTTTTTATTGATCAAATTAAGAACCTTATTTTCTAGAAAATGTGAAAGTACCTACGTCTTCATTTAATTATGATCAAATAAGAATTATAATAATAATTATAATAATGTTCAAAACATTGTTCCATTGTGGCTTAATTAATAATTTTAGGACTTTGTTTTGAGGAGAGAAGTGATGCAAATTAAATAAATTTCTACGTGACATTCTTTCGATGTATCAACATAAACAATCGAAGTTTGTATATGCTTAACTGATAATGATACACTCTTTTCCGTTGGTTATTTGCTTTGAATATATTTCATATTATTCGTATGTCTGCGGACGGCACCTCCCTGTAATTTGCGCCCCCGCGACGAAGGTGATTCGAAGTGTCATTATACCACTGATTTTTAATATATAAATGTTATCAGAAAACAAACACTTTTATAGTTTTTCAAAGAAGCGGAATTTGTTGGACTGCAGTTTAAAAGCGAGGGGAGTTCTGTCGAAGATTGGTCGAAGTAATCTTAGACCAATTTTTTTATCTTATGATGTTATTGGAGAGAACTACTCATAATTTTCCTAACAAAATCAAAAATTAACCTGTGTTATGACAAATAAGCTTTCTCTTGCGAGTTGGCCCAAATTTATGGTTTGTTTGGATTGTGCCTAGCGACCAGAATCGATAGGTTTGCACAAGGAAAAATTTATGAATTAGTGCTCGTGTATAACGGAACGTTCTAGAAAAGTATAAAAACAGATTATTTAAAAATATTTTGTGAAGTTAGTTCATACTATCGTATTATTATCACTTTAACGTATATTATTTTTATACTAACAAATAAAAATATATTTTATTAAATGGTATTTTCTAAGTTAAGTCGACCAACCATTATTGATTGCAGCAGCGGACACGCAGGTCAATAGTCCTGGCACAAGAATTTAGCAGTCTTATAATGTGTTGTATGCGATATTCCATAAATTCATAGAATAATATTTTGGTAGGAAATATACATAAAATAACGGGTGTAGGTACAATAAAAAATATATTTGGATTAAGCGGTGAAAATTTAATTGTTTACGGCTTTCTTACAGTGTAGAAAGTTACGTAAACAACTGACGGTTATTGAAAATGGATTCAACAACAATCAGTGTTAGGATAGAAAATATTTTCTATTTTAGTGCAAATTTGTTTACCGCAGATTTATTGAAATAAAATTAATAAACATTTTCCTACTCCCCCTATCGTAATCATACCATTAATACATGGTTTTCATGGACGCAAGTTCGTTTTACGAAATGATTACGGTTGTTAATGACGACGGGACGTAAGTGATTTAGTTATGTCCCTTAGGAAAAAAAGTGCATTAGGACACGTGCTCTGTTAATTTATATTTATGGTAATGTTACAGTTTGTACAATTACTAACATTGTTAACAAAATTGGAATATTTATTTACCTAGTACATTTTTTGATAATTCAATGTTATTATCACCTTCTTTATCCGCAACAATTAGTTCCGTAGTTTCATTTGACACTATCATCGCCGAGGATACTTCAATGTTGTTATCACCATTTTTATCAGCAAAATGTAGTTCCGTGGTTTCATTTGACACTATCATCGCCGAGGAGGCTTCAGTAGAATTTGTACCCTGATTATCATATAAAACTTTATTAGCAATCGCTTCTTTATTAGCAACAGACTCAGCAACGTAGGTTTCCGCAATACTACCGGACTTCCACCTCCAAGTCTCTTTAGTGTGTATTTGCTAACAAAGTTGTCGAGGTTCTTCTGAACGAATGGCCTGTATGGGCTTTAGGGTTGTCTAAATTCAAATATGTTGCTTTCTTACAGGGGATTTCAGCGATTTTATTTTTGCCGACGGGTTGATTAACACATCTCCCTCCCTGATAACGCATGAAAAAACGTACATTTACAATTTTGGATCTAATATTGATATATTTTTTGACAATTTGCAAATAGCGAACTTTATTTTCTCTACAGGCCGTAATTGTAAAGGTACGCGGCATTCCATTTTTCGAATTTGGTATTTTAACAAAAATTATTTCGTCTGTTTCCTCCACATCCGTTAATTTCATTTCGCACAACTCCTGGCCACGACATGCCCCAGCAATTCCCATAATCATGACTACCTAAAATATTTGATTTAGGCGAGATTACAATTAAAAGTTTAGCATACCTTCATAAGTAAGTACATATCATCCGGAGCGCCTTCAAGAAATAAATGTATCTCTGCTCTTGTGAACACAGATGCCTTTTTCGGCCTGTATCCATCATTTTTTCTTTTAAAAAACGCACGTAATTTGGGATACTTTGATATGTCGATATTTTCATTTATGAATAATGTACTCTTAAGCATCGAGTACTCACACCACAAACTGG